CAATAAATTACTTGCTTCAATATCAACTAAAAACCCACAAACCAAAACCATGGTATTCACATGTTTGACATAAAATCTCTCTGGTATTTTCTTTTGTGTTACGTTTAGGCCAACCTGGGAAACTTCCTGATCATTGCCTGCCAGAAAAGCACTGCAATGACTGAAAGTAGGATTCGTAAGGAGGGACACCTGCAGAAATTGGATTTCCATTAGTAACTACTCAGAGTGCAAAAAAAGTTACCTCTTGCCAAGTTAGCCACTTGCAGCTACTTCAGCTTCTTCACAGGTATTCCTTCCAGTTTGGATAAATCAATGATCATTCTGATTTTAATCCTGTTAAGCAATTCCTTCACTGTAAAAAACTTGAGTTAATCAAACTATACCCACAAACAGGCTTGTGTAGCAATGCAGTAGCAAACTGTCAAAGCTGCACTGGCAATATAGCAAGAAATCTTAACAAATTAGAAGCTGACATTGATTTTACCTAATGGCAATCAAAAATTATGACTAGGAAAAATAGAGTAATTCCATTCCAGCACATTTTTGGGTAATGTTTCTTAGTTCAACTGTGGTACGTCTGCGTAGAGGAGTATATGGAACTCCACTTCCAGGAGTTCACCTCTTTCTTGAATGTCTTGTCGTGTTTTTACCAACTAGGCACCCACTAACACTTTCTACAATAACTTCCTTTTTTTCTTCTTCCAGCAAAGGCAATATAAAAATACAAAGAAATCCAGTCCCAGTGATCATGCACTGAAAATGGAGAAAAAATTGCTTGGAGATGTGACATTTTAAAGCATCTCTGTAAGTTTAATTTTTAAAGGACAGAACGAGGCATATTAAATTCTTCTCATATTATAAGGAATGCATATAACTTGTACAAGAAAACCCCAAATAAAATGATTAACCAAAGTGACTGAAGAAGTGTGAAAACAGTGCAAATTGGAATTGGTGGACTTGCTGGGATCTCGGAGACAACTTTTTTCTTTTGATTGAATTCTGCAATATCCTTTCCCTTTAAAATAATAATGCAATTTGGATTTTTGCTACTCTGATTTCATTGAAAAAGAAAATAAATATTTCTGCTGCTCAGACCATCCAGAGCCACGCTTTTGAGTCACTCTGTTGAAAGGCAAATGTCTTCTCTACTGGTAAGAATAGGATGGGATGGTATTAGACAAATGCAAACTGTAAGAAACCAAAATCCCATTTTACAGCAAAAGGTCACTCTAACAGAAATGCAAAGCAGAAAGAAAATCTGAAGTGGAAACAAACATGCTGATTGGCTTTGATAGAGAATGTTTTCCAACACTTTTGAGGAGGTATTAATAGGATCATGATCTATGGTGTATGCATTACAACAGCAAAAAGTGATGGATGCAATGTCAGACTTTTAATATAGAAAGGTCTTCTCCTACAAACTCTTCCTTTCACAAGCATTCTTACTCACAGAAGCAATCCTCTTTTCGGCAAGGGGCTACAGGATCAAAATATAAAAAGCATACATAGTCAAATGATTTCTGAGAGATACTCAACTTTATATATATAATTCTCTTTGTGGGAACAAAATGCTAAATTGTGTGGTACTGGTTGCTCCTGCCAGTCCCAAAGAGCATTAATATTTTAAAGCCTTGATCCTGTAGACCACTGGCTTCCCAGAAAGGTCTATACAAACTACTCAAGACTTTATTTGTTGGGTTTGGAAATGGCTACACTGTATAAAAATGTTTTCATATTTATTTTTTAAAAAATTAGCTTTACAAAAAAAACTTTTCCCTTTTTTCTTTTTCTTTTTTTTTTTTCTTAAAGATATCATTATCTACAGGAACCCATAAAAATTTTTCCATATTTACATCTAGATAGCTAATCATTGACAAATATAATATCGTGAAATAAAATATTGAAAGTGAATATTCAACGTTTTAAATAGACATTTGGCTCACAGCATAAACAACAGAGAAAACAAATAAACAGAACAACAACAAAAAAAGATCTACTCTTCTTACAGGCCTGATCTTTTCCTTTCTCTTAAAGAAAAAGAAAAGAAAAAAGAAAAAAAGAAAAAAAAGTATATTGGTGGGATCAAACGCGCTGCTTCTAAGCAGAATACCAGCAATAAACTGCTCCCATCCAGCACCTTACACTGAAAAACCAAGTTCTCTGAAGCTTATGTGGGTGGTTGCTGAGACACACGGATGTCCAGCTGACACAGGGCTGGCATCTGTCCCCACACTGCTCATAACACATTGTTTGCCTTTTATTCTGAGAAAGGGCATGGCCTCCACAGTCCCTTCCTTTTGCTCTCAAGAGACGTAGCTTAGCTTCGTTCTTAAATGATATATTTGGCCACTGATGCACGGACATACAAGGTCAGGGTAGGGAGATGACAGCGAGCCTTTAGTTTTCGAGGCAAGACACGTCTGCTCTCTGTTCTCCCCAGCCCAAGCACACACAACTGCCCCACGCAGCCGCTCCCGCACTCCAGAGTACACAGAGGGCCAGGTCCTCTCCAGGGGAACAGACCAGCATACCACATAGCCCCTCGTAACCTCCTTCGGAAAATAAAACTTCCTGGCATGCCCCTTTCGCCAGCACTCTGGGAAGTGCTGAGGAGGAGGAGGACAAGGAGGAGGAGGACAAGGAGGAGGAAGAGGAGAAGGTGGAGAAGCCCACACGGGCGGGTGCAGACCCTGCTGAAAGGCTGCTGCCTGCAGCTGGAGTGCAAACCAGGACTTGGAGGGTTACTGGGAACATAGATGCTCCTAAAAATGGTCTCTGGTTCCCTCGTGGGCACAAATTCTCTACAATTCAGGCCTTCTGTTTGTTGTCGTGTACTGGGACGTGCTACAGCTAGCGCAGAAGGAACTCAAACTATGCTGTATTGCATGACATTCACTCACACTCGCAGACACCCCCTCATGCACACATATATGTCGGCAGGATATATCAGCATTCATATGAAGCTCTGGAACTTTTGACCCTCAGCATTATGAGCAAAAGCTACTTAACTGGTACCTTACCATTAACTGCAAATGTGCTTTAGAAGCAGCGTTTCCTTAGATAACTCTTTTGTAAATATCACAGTGACCATAATATATCATTAAATTTTGCTGAAGTGTGCAGCCAATAACCCTGGCTATATATATATATATATTTATATAATTCCACCCACCCCCAAATCTCTTTAAAGAAAGTCTGTAAAAGCCGGTGTCGCAGTGTGAAAGCTTCCTTGAGCATAGGAGTTTAAACAATGTACCTCACCATAAAAAGGAAAGAGAAACAAATTAAACAGCTGTAGGCGCGTTACCCCATACTTCTACAGTGTCGTGTCTAAATGCTGTGCTGGCTTGAGAAAGAGTCTGTGCACGAGTTAATCTGCCTTAAAATACTGCTGTAAATATTGTCATTGGTTTGGTTCTACAGTTGTGTTCTCCTCTTCATCCCTCTTGGGCTTCCCTTTCTCCTCCTCCTCTTCCCTGATGGCCTGGATTTGTTCTGAAGATTGGTGCAGCGTGGATTGCTCTGCACCTGGCTTCTCTGTCCCGGCTAACCTCTCCTCATCCTCAATTACTTTCTTCCACATTTTATGGTTCTGAAGCAGGTGCTGAGTGATCTGACAGTAGATTTTCCTCCTCTTGAACTTCTTTCCTGTAAAATACCATGTGAAATCAATGTATTATTTTCTGTGAGAGAGGAAGGAAAAGCGACCGAAGGTGTAAGAAGGCAACGGGGTGTACTATGACATCTAGGAACTGCATCAACAGATTATTAAAATCACAAATTTAAACAGTCTTGAAATCTAGAAAGATATGCCTCACCAGCCCTCTGGGGAAGCAAACTGGTTTTCTGCAGGGTTTGAGCCCCAGCTTCATCTGGTCACAGGCTGCATGTTGTCCCTGACTACGCAGTTCACATGGGACATCTAGTGCTTGAGTGACTATACATAAAACATGTTATTGCTGAGTAGTTTCTGCTTTTTATAACAAGTACTTAAAGACTCTATCACCCTACTCCACAACACACACATTAAATTCTGCCCCCAATGGATCCCTGCTGATTGCCCTAGGAAAAAAAAACAACCTGATTTTTGTTTTCTCCACATTTTACTTACGATCTGAGCTGCAGAAGGACAATGAATGAGCAAGCACTAGAAATCAAAGAAGGGAACCTTATGTTCCCTTTTCAAAGTCAGAGATTTACCACTTCACCACCATTGCAGTGGAGACGACCTTAAGACCTTTGCACAGCATTGCTTCGGCAACAGTCTGACCACTGAAGTAGTCACCATATAGCCAGACACTACCATGGAGCTCACTTGTCTTTGGTTTTGAAGCATCAGTCTCCTGCTGTTAACCTATAAAATGTTTTTGCCACTGGTAGTTCTCATGGCTCCTGACACAGCCACACTACAAGTGTTTTGCTGTCTGAAGTGTTTTTTTTCTATGTCAGTATAGTCTGTCCAACGCAGACTGTTAACTCCCTAACAGTACAAAGCTTGAAAATGTTCCCTGGTCATTAACAGGGGCAATGGCAGTCTCAGAACTGAAAGAATAACCCCTCCAAAGACAACTGCTGATTTCTTTTTTAAAGAAGGTGACGCAGAGGAATGTTTTGTACCAAATAAATTTGCGTGGATTAGTATTTGCAGGTTGCCTGAAGTATGTCTGTGTCAGGGTCCAAAACATTTAGCCCTTGAAGCTTTTGAACTGGAAACAAAGAGCCTTTCACTGAGCAAAAACCAAATCCACTGCAATCCTTCATTAGAAAGCCCTTGGTTCCCTGTAGGAAACCTTCAGGTTTAGCACTAATAAGAAGTCCCTACCCTGCCAGTACTGCAGCAGGACATTCTCTCCTGGGTTTCCCGGGTGACCCCACATCTTGCTGCTCTCTATAGACACCAGTGAGCACCTCCTGTGGTTAGAATTTGTCTGAAGCACTAAAGATCAAGCCTGTTTAATTCTTATACTTGCATCAGAATGTTGAGAGAGTTACATGCTTGTGTATAATAACAAAAATGATTTTAAACTGCCTTAAGGTTTTATAACTCTTAAATTTATCTCAAGTGCTTTATTGAATTATAAGGACCTGAGTGAAGTGTTTTCTGCCACAGTTATACTCCCACCTGCCTAAAGGGCATTTCCATCAATAAAAATATCTTCACCAATACCTACACAACTCTATTTATGCAGCTGACATCCCAATCTTTTATTTTATTTCACTGAGGAAGTACAGAACATCAAAAATTGTGTTGATTATAGGTATAAATTTTTAACAACCTCTAAGACTCCTATATCAACAGAAAAGACGCCATAGATTCCTGACTCAGATCCGCATAGTCACAGAGAATTTAGGGAACTAAAAGAAAACAGTTTGCAACACATTGGTATGATTGAGAAGATAAGCATCCCACTTTTGGTATAGGAATAACTTGTTTAGATAATTCAAAACTTCTGATGCATTAATTTTTAAGGTTTTGAAAAAGATAAAGAGCCCCAAATCACCAAGGAATAGCAAAGTACTGTCATGGAATAGAATGTGAAAAAGAAAACAGAAGACAACTAAAAAATGGTCTATTTTCAATGTGACAAGTGCTAATAATGATCTGTGCTTTTAACCTGAAAGGAACATTGTTGGACTTGACTAGCAGTGATACAGAAGATAAGTGAACAGAGAAATGAAGTGAAAGGAAACTTAAGGATTTCAAAGTAAGGTTAGACAGTCCAATAGATAAATCATAGAATCACAGAATCACAGAATGGCCTAGGTTGGAAGGGACCTTAGAGATCATCTAGTCCAACCTCCCTGTCATGGGCAGGGATGCCTCTCAACTAGACCAGGTTGCTCAAGGCCTTATTCAGCCTGGCCTTAAACATCTCCCAAGAGGGGGCATCTACAAATTCTCTGTGCAATTTACTCCAGAGTCTTGCCATAAGAATATTGTTCATCTTTCTTTTTATTAGCGCAGTATCAGTTTCAGGCTTTGGGGTCTATGTTGGTTACCAACTGCATACGCTTTCCCCCCGATAGACAATTCCAGAAATGCCAATCTGTCACAGAAACACAGAATCACAGAATCATTAAGGTTGGAAAAGACCATAAAGACGAACAAGTCCAACCGTCAAGCCAATACTGCCGTGACTACTAAACTATGTCCTGAAGTGCTACATGTAGCTCTGCCTGCTATTACACAGCTGACAGGTGCTAAAATAAACCCGTATGTGCTGTACTACTTGGTGCTTGCTGTTCTCAACAACATATCCGGCGCATATAAACCTAAAATATGTGCAACTGTGTGTGTATGGACAACTGCAATGATTTCTTAAATACAAACCGTGTACCCGTGTCCTAATAGAGAAAAAAGTTCAATTCCGTGCTTCAGAAGACACAGATTTTAGTTCCATGTTCTATATGACTTCTGCAGTCATCAAATCTTTCTGTTTCTCAGCTTCCCCAACAGAAAGTAGGGAGGATAGCCAGCAGGGGATGAAAGTGTGGGAAAGAAGAGTAAAAGTGAGTCTGTTATGAGAAAAAGCTACGTATTAGTATTTCACTAGCGCACTTAAGGCTGGTACTTTCTAGAAGGATCTAAAAAGCCTTCATGCACTGACAGGTGGTCTACCACCAGAAACCTCAATGAAAGGGAGAAATAGGTAGTAGATGAGAAGAGCAATGAGTATCAAGTCCTGAAACCATGGAGCGTCTCCATTGCCAATGTAATTGGCTACATGCTGGCTTCACCAAGGACAGTATTCTGTGGAGTTAAATAAGTAAAAAGGATCTATGCCTTTACAGTATGGCTGCTTAATGGCTTAGGTTTTGGTCACAATATGGAGCTCGCTCTGTTGAAAAATCTAAGTGTGAACAACTTACTGGATTCAGCATTTTCACAAGTTTCCATTTCTGCCGTTTCTTCCTCTTCATGCTCATCAGTGTCTCCTGATTCATCACTATCTTCTATCCATTTTCCTGGCATCAGCCCTGCTGAGTCATAGGAGTTACATAGTGGTCCCACAATGTGAGTGATGAAAGATTCCTGGAGGTGTGCCAGCTGAGGAGCGGAGCGATCCATGAAAGGACTGATTGGCAAGCCCAGGCTAGCCTCTTCATCACCCTAGAGATGAAAAATAACGGTAATTTCTCTGAAGTAAATGAAACAAAACTGTGTCACGAAAGGGAGTAATGCACATCAAACCAATTAAAAGTGATGAAAAATAATTCAACTCTAATGCCACTTTCATAGCACAGCAGCATGACATTACTACAGTGCAATCACATCAAACGGTTAATCAAAGCTACAGCTCTTTTCTCGTAAGAGGACCCCTTACAAGTAGTGTGAATTTAACCAGGATTTTATCTGATGGCTGTGCAAAATGATGCCCACTGACCTTGTCCTGTACTTTACACTGTGTGAAAATTTGAAAATTATGATTTTCTTTTTTCACATTTCAAAAAATCCCTTCTCATTTTGTGATTGTTAGCTCACAACAACCTTGTAATCAGCCACCTGTTTGGAGGGAACAAGACTGAACTTCTAGAAGCAAGAGCTATCCAATTAAACTAGTGTTCTTATTAATTTTGTCCTTACTATACATAACATGGAGAGGTTCTCCTGGCTTTGGGTCATTAGTGCTTTTTCGCTGGGACTACCAAAATGATCACCATCAAGGCGGAGGCTACTCAGAAGCAGTACATTTTTCCCATAAAGCTTTTTGCTAGCTTTTCTCAGGGAGAGGTAAAACTATTTTCTCTTTCCTCTCATGACGTAAAAAAAAAAGGTAAAATTTTCTTGCAAAACCAAGTCTGATATCCTCACTCATCCCTATCACAGCAAGCTTCTGGTCATATCAATGAATTTTCAGCTGAGTAGACATATCAAGATTGGATGCCATCTCCCCAAGAAACAAAGCTATTCCCCCTAATCAAGCCTGATATGCAGATTATTGTTTTTACATAATATAGATATATATATATTTGAGAATACAGATTAGAATTTGGAGTGGCATTTTTAGTTTCCATTACGTTACAGATTGCCCCAATTTCTCTTGTTGTAACCTACATTTTCCAAATTCACAGACAATATATCTGGTTAACATCCTGTGATAACTGGGAAGGTCAAAGGATGAGAGATAAATTTTGAAGCATGTACAACAAATTTCTCATTTCCTTGTGTTTTGTTTTGTAATTTTTATAATAAACTACCCTGAAATGTTATGCTTAGTTATTAAATGCAGAATATTAGTGTTAACAGAAACATTGAATCATGCCACCCATTTTTGAAATAGCAAGCACATTAAGGAGAGGTGGCAGCTTGCTCTTTTTTACAGTAACGCATCTGCGATCTCCTGGTTGTGAGCTGTAAGTAGTGGAAAAAAAGCTGACTACTGAAATGTTTACAAGTTCTTTTTTATATTCTGTTAAAACATCATTTGTTAAGTGAAACTCTTGCAGTGGGTTTTTTGAATCTTTCAATACACCTAACCTGCCTTCAAGTAAGTATGCTGAGCACGTGGAGGGAAGAAAAGAAAACGTACTGTAACAAAATGACAGGATTTTGAGTGCTTCTATGTAACACATTTTTGATAACTCATTTTTATTTATATGGGAGATAAATTCTTCACAGGAATTGCTGTTTATTAAAGGACATTCAAGAAAGATACTTCATTGTTTTCACAGCATAGATTGAATGCACATATGTATGCTTTTTGATAAGAATTCTAGAGAAATCCAAACTTCCCATAAAATTGTCCTTTTTAAAAATGAGACAATGAAGATTTTTCCCTTCTCAGAAAAAACATTGAAGATGGTTTGGTAAACGTCTCACAGCACATTACATTAAAGAAAGCAGATTTTAACCTACATTAAATAACTGAAATCTAGCTTACTCTCCTTAATACTAAAAAGTAAGTCCTAAGAAGAAAATATTCTCTGTCTTCAGTTCCATCAGTATCCTGTCAGCATAGCAACTTATGCCATGCAAAAACCCAAAACATCCCAGGAAACCCACTGGGATGTATTAATTTCGTGATACAGTGAATACACATATTCTGTTAAAACAAAAACAACCAAAAAAGGCCAATATCTTAACGACTACCTGATCTCTTGGAATTTGCAGGCCAATAGTTCAAATGCATTTGCCCACAATCCCCACACTAAAGCAAATGTCATTAACAAAGATAACACGTGTGCTATTCTGAATCAAATTTTGTGGAGAAGATAAAGGTGAAGTGATTTTAATTATTTATTTAATTAATTACAGGATTATAAGAAATATAACCTCCAAGAGTGCTTCTGAGCAGCTCCCAGGAGCATGAAAACATTAGTAACACAGCCTTCTGACTGATGGAAAATAACCCCGATTGATACTGTGGAGCACATAACACAGTATAATCCCATCCCGTGTTCCTCTCAAGCTTGATTCAGAGCTCACTATCCAATATTTTGATATTAATATAGTTGTGTGTTTACTACTCCCTGACACTGGTTTTGCGGGATCAAAGGGGGATGGTATCGTATACCTGATTAACAGACTTTGTCAACCACAGAAGCTATGACCATCGCCAGAAATATGTGAAGTACAATTTGTTGGGAGAGTTGTAATGAAAATAGACTAATATGAAGAAAAGCATGTCCTAAAAGAAAATTTGAGAGACGAAGGTTGAACACTGTTGTTATCGGATTCTCTTTCTTTAAGGAAAAAATGCAAAGGAAAATGGAACCAACCACATATGTAATATAAGTAAGGTCATTGTTTTTTTCTTTTTCTTAGGAGATCTGAAATACATGAAGGAGCTTCAGGTCAATGTCTGAATTTTGTCCCTTTTTCCATTTCTTTACATACTCCAGAAGACAGTAGCCACAGAAAACTCTGTTTCTTTTCAAGACTGTAAGTACAGTGAACGGATGGCAAGATGAAAAAGCTTTACTAGGGATTAGTCTGTGACTTCAAGTTACTGCACAGCCTCCCCAGGAAGTCTGTAGGGCATTTGGTTGAGTGATTTAGCCTGCTTGCTTCCCCTCGAAAAAACAGGATGTGGAGTTTAGTCTAACCAGCACATTCAAAATACGTTCCCACTTGGGAAACAGGGGAATAGTGTGGGAACAGCCCTGTCCCTTGTACTCAGCAGGGCTAAGTAGGTTAAAATGAGAAAAGGTTCAATTAAGGGCTCCGTTAAACCTAGCAGGAGAGGATCAGTGCCTGGCTGTATTCCCAGGTCTTGGTAAATCAATCTATGGCTGTCCTTCTTCCCCATGCTAGCATCGGCTGAGCTTGCCATAATTAGTGCAGTTGTACTGATAAACCTTCTGAAAGCTAAAAGTGTTGTCTTGAAAAACAAAGTACGAGTCAGGATCAATGTGCAGGGAGCAGATATGGTTAATGTGTGATAAACCAACAGTGTTGCAGTCATGCTCAGTACATGAAGGTTCTGTGTGTGTGAACAGTGACATGGTGCACAGGAAAGCTAAAATAATTCCTCTGCTCTGTTTAGATCATCTCAACAAGGATTCTGTGTCCAGTTTTGGAGACCATATGTCAACAAAAGTGTGAGCCACCTGGAGTGACTGCAGAGGTGAGCAATGAGAACCAGCTGATGTCTTAAAAAGGTATAAAAGGAAGGATGAAAAGATAGTTTGCACTAGGTAAGACAGAAAGGGAGACATGACGACTGTCAACAAATAAAAGAGGAAAGGAGCACTTGTTTGCCATGTCCACTGTAAGGATAGTGCCAGATTGGAACAGTTAAGCCCGTAGAAACCACATCATCAGACGTCTTTGAGGACACATCAGAAGCCTCAGTGAGAAATGGACTTCCACTGATCCAGCAAAAGGAGGGACTAGTGCAACTCTAGCCATCCCCTTCACCCACATTCTCTGTGTTTTTCACTCCTCACCAGCCTTAGCACACTGCAGGACTGTTTAACACAAGACACGCAACTGGCAGATATCACTTTGGACATGCATTTATTTACCTGTTCATAAAACTCATTGACAATGCCTTCTGTCCACTGCAGATGCAAATCTTTACATTTTGCAGGCCCATTTATGTCAGCTAGTTTGATACACATCTGGCAAACAAGCAAGCGGTCATTCTCATTAGTCCAGTCAATTCCAACATCATCATTCACCTAGTAGACAGAAAAAGGAAAACTATGACAGTAATCCTGGGTAAAAGGATGGGTCCCCAGACGAAGTTCTGCCCTGGGATCTCTTACAGTGTACTGACCTATTTTACAGAATTGTATGTGAAAGCCAGTGAGCTAACCCATGGTTGGAATTTACTATCATCTGTAGAACAATATGTAAAAACAACTAAAAACCAATGAACATTGAGAAATTAATATTTAGCAAACAATGTGCCTGTCTGGAAACATTTGTGAGGAAAACAAACAAATGCAATCTTCTTATGAAATTTTCCAAGAAGTTACTACTTATCTGCTGTACAAAGATATAATACCATCAATACCATGTTGATTAAATTGCAGCGTGAAAATGCATGTAACAAGCTTATTTCCCCATTTGATCTCAGTATGTCTGAAATTATTCCCTATCTTTTTCCTTTTCTCAGTTTTTCCCACACTTCCACTCAAAGATAAAAGTGTTACCTTGAAGAATCACAGAAAGGTTGAGGTTGGAAGGCATCATTGGAGATCACCTAGTGCAACCCTCCTGCTGAAGGCAGGGCCAGCCAGAGCAGGGTGCTCAGGATCGTGTCCAGTTGAGTTCTGAGTATCTCCAAGAAGGGAAACTCCACAACCTCTTTGGGCAACCTCTTCCAGTGTATAACCCCATCACAGTAAACATGCCCTTTCTCACTTTTTAAATGGGGATTCCTGTATTTCAGCTTGTGCACTTTGTCTCTTGTCCTGTCACTGGGTACCAGTGGGAAGACTTTGGCTTCATCTGCTTTACTCTCTCCAACATATTTTTATACACACAACTCATCCCATCAGATCCCATGGACTTAGTAATAAACCAGTTTGTTTAACCAGATGCCATTCACTGAGGACAAGTCTTTACTACTTCAGACTTTGTCTCACACCTCAGGGGCCTGCGAGTCCTGAAGCCACAAAGACTGAGGCAAAGAAACCATTAAGGACTTCAGCCTTTTACACCTCCAAATCGTCAGTCATAGCAACCCTTACTGCTGTTAGCCACATTTTCCCATCACAGCCTTTCTTCCTAGAATATCTCCTAGCGTGGGAGGGGCTGCCTTCTATTGTCCACTTAATTTTCAAAATTCACATTTCTCCTTGAAACATAGCTTTAATTGTCAAGCTTGCAATAGTTGAAAATGGACAGAAAGTTGTTGTGCTATGACTAGGTGAAACTTCCACATCCTCCATCAGCAGGCCCCCTGCCCCATACAGCAGTGGGCCCACGTGGTGAAGGCTTTGCAATTGCTATACATGCTCCAACTTAACTAATGTCAGAGAACAGTAAGTACTCCAATGCATTGATATCATCAAAGTGTTGGACAATAAGCGTCCTTCATCATTTCTTGCTGGTACTTTGCAGACTGCAAATATTCTGGTGGGAGGATGCTTACAGTACATGTATCTACACTGACTTGCATGTCTCCCTGACTGTAGCCTCAATATACTAAACCACAGTTCAGCAAGCCAATCAAAAATGGGATAGTTTAGAGCTAATTTTATCAGTTACAGCACCTCCACCCACATACAAACATGTCAGCTCTGCTCTCTGAGACCACTCTGGTACAAAAGAGTTTTTGTGAAGCAAACACCAATAATCTCTTTTTAAGGCAGTGAATACTTCGCGAAAACCAGGCTCAGCCACAAGCACTGGTTAATACATTCACCTTCGCCTTCAGCTTTTATTCTGTGCCTGACCATTTGGCTATAAAAGTGCTAAGGAGAGAGAAGGAGGTTAATGAATGTCCTTACAAATCTACAGTAAGCTGGCAGGATGTGATATATCAGACTGTTCCCCTACTTACCTGCAGTGTCTCGACTATCGCCTTGCCTGGTCACAACAGTGGTTACACCTAGCGCTGTCCATCCTGACAGATTTAAGACAAACTTATTTTTCAATACCTACAGTTTATGCCTCTTACTTTCATCAAGCTTGTCCTCTTCTGCAGTTAAGACAGTTAGTTGCTGTGACAAAGCCACAGTAGTCACCAGTTTACCCTGTCTTTTTTCATTCCTTACTTATGTTTGCAGAAGTGAAGGTTTTGGTCCAAACTGTCAAATTCAAAGGATGTACTCAGACAGACTAAATTCACTGTGCTTTACTGTCACTGTAGCCCTGACAGATCTGCCAATATTATTCAATACTTTACAGAGAAATAAGGTTGGTGAAAATGATCCCAGAGTTTAAAATTTAGAACTAAAGAAACCCCCTTGATATTACGGGACATTTTGGAACATGACCAGCAGAGGTGCAGAAAGAGTTCAGACTTTTATGGATCTACAGATCAGTTCTAAGTCTACCCTGGACCATAATTTAAGGAATTTCTTTAGAGTTTCTTAGAGCCTAACAAAGAGACACATGTTACAGGGACACGGAAGGCAAAACCAGCATACATCTGGAGGAGTCAAAATTTCAGGATACAAGTTCTTTCTTAGCAACACCATGAGAAAACCTTTTATCTATGTCACCAAAAAACAGCCAGGAGGTCCTAGTCCTGGTCAAGAAACATTGTGTTTGGTGTGTTTCTCACAGGGAATTAGAAGGTGGTACCAGCTTCAAAGGCAAGTATCATCTAGGTAACGTGCCAACATGTTTGATGGACAATGGAGTTGATTAAAGCAACTTGATAGTTGGTGATTTCCAGTAAGTTAGGTTGAAATGGTACAATAATTTTTAAGAAAAGTTTCCCAGGGTTTTGATTTTATACTCACTGAATGGAGCAGGCAGGAAAGATCTTTAGTGACTTGCTCTGGGGTTTACTGATTGGGAGCAAGGTAGGCAAGGAAGATCATGCTTTTATTGCATTTGAAATGACAGTTTCAAAACTCTTATCATTCTGTGCTTTGATAATACAGCAGCACGATTAAACCACTAAAAATTCACATTAAGAATTTAGCCATTACTGAAACTTGGTAACACCTTTGATTTTTTGCCCCTGAGTGCTATCCTAATAGGTCCAAAATGCCAGTGAACAAGAAAACAATGTTGAAAAGTAGAACGTAGGTGGGATTTACATTCAGTGGTCCATAATATTCTTAGCCTTAAACCACATTCTGAAAATACTAAACATATATAAGAAAAGAAGCTGTGCCACTAAATTTAAATAACCAAAAAATAACAGAAGTGCTGGATGACTATTCAACAGAATGTTTTACAGCAGCCAAATGGACATTCAGAAGAAAGAGCAACACAGCAGTCTTTCTAGACTTTTCACCATGAGACTACCAAGCCGCAGAGTCTTTTCTGACCACTCACCAGAAACCTGAACCGATCTTCTTACCTTGGCATTGAATTTGGCAACAAAATCAAAGTGTTTCTTCAGGTCAGTAGCCAAAATTGCCTCAATGACGAGGAAGCGGAAATGTTTGAACTCCACATGGTCGAGGTTGACCAGGAAATTGTACTCTGGCCTTGACATGAAAAGGTTCCAGGCAGCAGCGGCATGGTGGTTCTCCAGGACAGAGCGGTCATTGTACAGCACTGCCTGTGAAAGCAACATGGGCAGCTGAAAGCTGAGAAACCTCTAAGCAAAAGAAACACGGCAATGCAGAAACGAGCATGATGTGGGGATGATGCACAAGGGAGGTTCAGGTTTGGTTGATTTTTGTTCACTTGGTTTTTTTTTTTCAAGGACTTCTCGAGGTTTGAAGATGAGATTTTGGCAGGACAAATGGCAGACACTTGAACTGTTGTGACGGTGAAGATTTACTGGATGATAGATTTGAAAAATCTGGCTCTTTCACGCTCAAGGGTCTTTGGTTCCTGACTGAACTGCATCATACGGCAATAGGTTATTCTGTTTCAGTCCACAAATTAATAACTAATATAGGTGTGTGCTTTTCTGTTTCTCACAACCAGCCTCCCTTAACAGGGCCTATTGTCTTTATTGTGTTTATAGTTGGCAATTCTGTTCATGCTGGACTGATTCCAAACACAGAAATTCCAGTTTGCAACGTGACAACACACACTCAGCCTGACAGATTTCGCAATGCTAAAATCCAAAATGTTAAATCCTTACCTAAACAAGATGCATAACTCTCATAGTGATTGCAATTCCATTAAGAAACTAAAGAAAGACCTAGAAAACTGACTTTAGGGGACAACAACCATCCAGGAAATCTCTCCACTTAGCAGCACTCAGTCTTTTGACATTTATTTTATGGAAAGAGAAGCTTTTGGAAATACACATCTATGTGAAAAAATGTTGTAATTTTTTACACAAATATATACATATACCTTCCAGAAGTTTTTGACTTCAATTATATTTTTCTGTTATCTAGAGATAAAAAAAATCAATCCTATCTTAACATAGAGAATATATTCTTTACTCCAGAGAACAGATTGCTGAACAAACTCAGCTGCACAGCCCCTTTTGCCTAACTGTACGGTAAGCATTTGAGACAGATATATTCTGCCACCCAGGCCCAATCCCTGAGGGCAGATTTTTTAATAGAGCAGCACTTTATCGAAGCTGATACTGCTTGCTGTGAAAGAGAAGAAAAAAAACTAGATGCCAAATACAATTTCTGCAAATTTCAAGTGATACTAAGTTTTAAAAATACCCAACAAAACCAAGTAAAAAGCAAATCGAAACCAAGCCCCTCAAAACAACAAGAATAATTTGATTTTTCCTCCATCAACTTATTTTCAAACTAAGAACAATAAATTAAGGCTAATCATCTAACTTCCTCTGCTGATTTTTAAAACCACAAAGACAGAGCACTCATTTCTTAAAAATAGATTTATGGACACCGTACGCCTTCTATCAATATATTTACCTGGTGAGGGTATCAAAATTCTCGATCACAGGAAGATGTTGCATTACTACCAGTTTATAGACAGAGACTGCTACAGAGCAAGTGGTGACATGCTCTTGGTGAGAAAGGAAGTCTGGATCCAAGTTGGAGAGTAAGATTTCTGCATCTCTACCTGACTTCTCATCACTAAATTATCTTTTTTTCTTTCCTTATCCATAGATATATTTTTCAGCACAGTATGCTGAAGCCAGGCAGGTCAGCTACATAAAGTAAGGAAAGATGATCTCATAATTAAGCCAATGAGCAGTGACTCAGAATTGCTAAATTCAACTCCCAGCACTGGCAGAAACTTCTGCATAACCTTAGGTAAATCTCAATATTTCATTCATAAAACTAAGATAATATTCCACTCTGCCCCACTCTGCCCCGATAGATGCATAGTATAAAATATATTCATAAAAGATGGCAGATGCACATATTTTATAGGAAAAACAGAAAACATGTCACGATCATGCACAAACCAGCTTGCATGGTGCACTGTCAACTCTACAGGTGCTTTTTAATTTTATTTTAATCTTTCTGTACCTAAATGGACAGAATAATACCTCCCTTATTTCACAGTTACAGATTCTGTACCAGTCAGCAGAGCACTAGCTTTTCCTTCACTGAGACACAGTCCCTTTCTCAGCAGCTCTACTAGCTGTGGTGAGAGTGTGTAAGAAAACTCTTAACAGTAAATCCCATGTGAAGTGATTATTTCTGTCACTCTGATAAGCTGCTTCAAAATATTTGGTAGACTTGTGCTTAATGGAAGCCACAGACACCAAGGGCAAGGAGAAGCTGTTACCAACGACCTTCCAAAAGTTAACAACAACACTGCTTGACATTTATTTACCTGAGGAGCACTCGTTGCTACCAAAAAGGCATTGGTCCTTCCTGGATGATCATAATCATGCATGGCTGCAGCTACATAAAGAGCCATCAACTCAAGGGCAGGGATATTGCCAGCGAGGCATCCATAGCTGTCATCTGTAGGTGTGTATGTCTTCGAAAACACATAACCCATATGGCCATGAGTGATTCCACTGTCAGAATCTGAGTAGAAAGAAGTAATCATTTTCTTTTACAAATAACCCTTACCACTTTTTCAGTGTCTTACTGAAACAGAAGCAACAGATAGGAAGAGAAGGAGCAAATTTACAATATGTAACAGAAGAGGAAACACATTCTGACCTCAGTATTTCCCAATTCTGTGCACATGACCCAGTGCAATAAGGCACACAATCAGAAAGGAAGAAATTCTGATTGCACCTGGGGATCTTCAAGGCATCCACCAGAGCCTGTTCACAAACTACTTAAGTTACTAGCAAGAAGCTATGGATTCGTGACCACACTGGAGCTCAGTGTAACTCCACCTTCCCACTCCTTCCTCTAAGTGCTTCATCATATAGATTAGTGGATGAGACACTAGCAGTCCTTAAAGCAACGGACTGGCACGTATTAATTCAATTACTGTGCATGTTTTCCAATTCAAAGGCCTAGACTTTGGATCTTTGCTGATAATCCTCTTAACATCCTTTTTTTTTGAAGCAGATTGAACATGCCTGTCAGAGCCAAATACTGAGTGAGATGCTTTGCTAATTTATTCTGCTGTAATGGATCTTACATGCAGCTGAACAAAGACCAAAAAGCTCCAAAACTCAACTCCTTTCATTCCACTCATTTTACCACACCTATAATGCCTCCAAACAACCCTTGCTAATAAATTTTTCCAGGAATAAAAACATTTCCTGCCCCACGAAAGCATCTTTTAGACTTTCACAGATGCTATGTGTGTCACACAACCACTACCACAACCCCCCACAAATTCAAGCAGCTTCTGCAGAACAAATTCTTGCTTTTCCAGTAACTCTCTCAGAATTCCCACAAAACACAGACAGGTTCTCTAGTTGCTAGAGCTGAACCTGGAGAAGTTAATATAAAGATGCAATACAAACAGCTTCCTGTAAGGAGCAATCATAAACCAGCAGATAATTGGTCTTGCAAACTAGTTGCAAAATGTTAACAAGTCTCTTTTTTTTGGAGACAGGGAGGAAAGGCAAAGGGACACTTCACAGCAGCCAAGCAGTAGCAACTGCACGCACTACCTGCAACGCCCCAGTAGTTTTATAATAGCAAAATGATGCAGGGTTTGAGGATTTAAAAGTCTACGCTGCTTCTCAAGCAGCGTTGAAAAGCACTACGTACATATTCTTCCTAGAAAAACAAAACCAAACCAAAACTATTGTAAAAATCACATGGTAACAAACAGCTGTCCTTATGGGTGACCACAAACATTTGCATTCACACATCGTTAAATGTTAAGTATTAGGTTTTAGAGGTCCAGTCCCACTCTCTTCGAAGTAACATAAACATACCTTAACACCTTCAACATTCAACGTTCTACTGAACTTAAAAGTCTATATACTACAAGTTCTGCACGCAGTCCTCAATTGTTGGCTTTCTCACAGCAAATTTCACAACAAAAACTTTAAAAATACAATGCATATACTTGCATATTTAAATATACCTGAATCACTTGCTGACCCGTGATCATTGATCACAGTTGGCAGTCCTGGGATGGGCTGAGTAGTAAGGTACCAAACGGCATGTAGAACATCAGTTGCATGTATTCGGTTGTGATCTGTGATATAAAGCAGATGACCCTGCTATTAAACTTGAAGGATTATTTCCAAGGAAATGAGCACCATCTAGTGGCTGTCAAGCGAGCAAAGACAAATAGCACAAGCATAAAAACCAGCTGTATTCTGTCAATGATCAGGATTTATTTTTTGCTGAAGTTGAAACATATTCAGTAGTGTGCCTCATATCAGTCAAGAAAAGAGAAGACAGCAGAGTGGGATCTGCAATGTCGGAAACTTTGTAAAGAAAGTGTTAAAGAAGGAGCCTGACTGTGATACCAGCTCCAATCTCTTATTCTAATGGTTGCCTTTAACTAGTTAAATACCATCAGGTAAATTTGCATGGTTAACATTTGATTCAAATGAAATCAGCAGGAAAATCTCATCCACCTCAAAGGCCAGATTTCACCTAGCTTCTAAACACAAGGCAGGTAACACTTACCTGACTCTACTTGAGTAAATTTAGGTGCTATGCTAGCAGCTGCACTGCAAAAAGTCAAACTTGCAATATGCGTACACTGCACAGTTAAATCAGGTTCTTTCTGCAGTTTTCTGGACAGAGATAAGAGTTCAGGCTCTGGATCCTGTAATCTGGCTTAGTACAAGCTCTCTTTGCAGAAACGAGAGATAAAGTCACCCCAGGGCTCATACGGCCAAATCCCTCAAGGCCAGATACACTATCTCATGTTCAGCACAACTGTCTGAAAAAGAACCATGTGCTAGTTCAACATAAAGCATCACCTAAGCATACACTAACAAAATGATGCTGAAAGAGGGGTAACACTTTGCTGCACCAGGACCAAAGCTTACATCCAGGGTTAAACCACTGAAGGACAAGCATTTCGGCTTGTGATTCAGGCTTATTTTGGGCAGAGCACAGTGACTTCTTCTACAGTGACTAGCTAAACACAAAGAAATCTGCTAACCTGAAGGGCAAGCTGTGGCTACATTATTGCTGCTGCAGTTCTGGAAAGATGCATTTCAGGGGACAAAGCACAAAAACGTGGGACTCCACTACTGGGTCATCCCCATTTGTAAAACTCCCTGTAACTGGATACATCTCTAGGTAATTAGTCATCTTAGTTGGAGACATCTTGGTAATGTCAATCAGTTCTGTATCTCTCATCGGCAAACCAACTGCTGGAACAGGCTTGATGGGAACAGGTGAAAAACTAGATTATATTAACAAGATAACAGTCAAGGATCAGGGTAATACCAGAGATGTAATGTATAGAATCACAGAATCATTTCAGTTGGAAAAGACCTTTAAGATCAATAAGTCCAACCATTAACCAAGTGATGCCAGGTCCACCACTAAGCCGTATCCCTGAGCACCTCATCTACATGTCTTTTAAATACCTCCAGGGATGGTAACTCAATCACTTCCCTGAGCAGAAAAATGACCAACACACAAGTCCAGAAACCCTCACTAAGAAGTAACAAGTAAAGGGGTGAAAAAAACCTCTGTACTCTATGGGACTGGCAGCAAGATGTGTAAGCAAGCTGGGTTTATACTTTCTGCATCCTAAGGACAGGCAATTAGCTGACAAAGTTGCTAAGGTTGCTCCTTCTATGGAAGAAGAAGAAGGAAGGAGAAGACCTGGGATGGAAAAAGCACCCTAGAGAGCTATATTTGCCCTCTTGCCACTGCTGGGGGATGAATAATGCTGGCTCCTGCGGGGAAGAGCCACCTACCCCCTCCAGAGCAGCACCGCTGAGCCCACAGTTCTAATTCCTACCATCAGTGGGGCAGCAGCCTGCATCTCCCTCGCTCTGGCAGAGGAGGGCTCACCATCTTGCTGACCCTACAATTTCAGTGCCTACTTTGTTTACACATAAAATCAGCAGTATCCTGCCTGCCAAGGGCAGATGGCTGTATTACAGAAAGTTTTGTTATATTCAGAATTTGCAATCATTTTGCTTACTCACTAAATGTGAACATGATGTCATGCCACTTGGCCCATTTATTCACTCCTTGCTTTCCTCTCTTCCTCACCTTTGTACTCCCTATAGTACTAAGAACATCTGTCTTGAGACACTAATCTCCTCAGGCAAAATCTAGACCATGGCCTTGCATAGGGGTCTAATGCCTTTCTCAGGAGTAAAGGCTGGATTAGCCTCTTATGAAACTTGTACTGATTTAATCCAACTGGGATAGTCACCATTGTTTTGTGTGGATAATCTATTTTCCAGTTCAGTAACCAAAAGAAAGAAGTGGTTAAGTCCAAACAAGTTGTTTTAGTTCTTACCCCTTCACAAAAATGAAAAATTGGAAGGTAAATTAATTTCGTATTAGACAAAATATTCTGCTTTACTAAAAGGAAACACACTTAAGAAAACCCAAGGAAACCCAAGGAAATGAAAGGGTATAGTCACAAAATTTCCTGACACTCCATAAACAGTTAAATGTTTTAAACAAATAGGAATGGCTCCAGTAGGACAGACTCCGGGACATCCACTTATAACCCTCTCGGGCTATAATCTGCTACTTCAAATCCCCAGTCAGGTTCAAACACAAGGAAAGATTTGAAATTTGGTCTCTCACTTTCCCAGAGGAGAGTCCAAACCACATGTCTGGGAGGCATTTTGGGGTAGCTTTCCTTCAACGGTAGCCATTCCAATTGGTATTTGATATTTTGAAAGAGAAACTATACAAGTAATTAAATCAATGTTTCAGACATTTTTCTTTTGCAGCTGAAGCGGTTTGGTAAATTTGATTTAAATTAGTAAATACTTTGGGGATGAGGGAAAGTAGGTTTTTCAGTGAATCACAGAATCACACTGAAAACTATCAGCTAAGCTGTAGCTGCAAAAGAACAAGGTGCACTCATCTACTTGGCATATTTTTCTGCTTTACAAATCTTTGCTACTGTGTAAAACTCCAACTTGCTTATTGGGCAGAAACTTTTTGATAAACTCCAGTTGGGGCACTGGGGTATGTTTGCATCATCAGGAAAATGTTCTTTGTTCCTATAGTAGCTTTACATGGTTTCAAGCTTGCAAAGAATTTGCCATGAATTATTATGAAAAAACATGAAACATTAAATACAATGAAAAAAAAGACAAAGGCTGTGGTTCAGCACCAGCCTCTGATCAGAGAAACATCCATTTGGTCATAATGTAGCAGAATAAAAAAATGACAGAAGAAGGGCTTCAATAACAAGCTGTGGAAAATATCCAAAACTTTATAGAAGCATCGTTACCTGCTCTGAATTTTTACTTACAAGGTATTTCTCGGTATCCACATTCCAAGGCATGAAAGTAGTTCATAAATTCCCTCACTGGTATTTTAAAGGTTTCAAACAGCCCCATGTCTTCAAAAAGCCTATATGATACCTGAAAAAAAAACAAAACAATGCTTCTAAATAAACTAGAAAAACTTTGTAAATTAGAAACATTGTCATGTTGAATTATCCCATGAAAACCCGCTATCCTGGTCGTATTTTCTCAAGTATATATGATCCAGCTACAGATGGAGCTATTTGCTCTTCCACAAGGATTTGGTTACACAGCCAAACAGACATGCTACTCATATCAAACAGTTCTCTTCATTCCTTCATTACACCCTTCTAAAAGTTCTTTTCTTTTCAGACATATGGATCCCCCAAATTCTGCAAGCACCTCAGAAATACACACACACAAAGGAATATATCCAGAGGTGTTCAGTGTCTTGGGAAAAATGTCCCCAGAAACTTCTCCAAGGAGCATCCATGAGTCAAATCAATTCCCAGAAAAAGGGGGAACAGGCGAAGGAAGGACAAAAGGAAAGAAGCATTTTGGATCCTATGCATTATCTCCCTCCCCCCTCTCTCATTTTGGAAGTGAAACGGCAATAGTGATTTCTCCGATTGGATTTCAGAGGCAGCAAGCTGCTTAGGAAGCAGAGCTTCCTGAAAGTGTTCCTGCATTGAAATGCGACTGTAGACATCCAGGAGAGGATGTATCAGAAAGGAGAATGTGATGATGAGTGAGGGGGTGTTCAGGAGAGACAAATGCTCAGAAACGTGGACAGCAGCTGCTAAAAAATGGACACTTTTGAAGGCAAGTTTGAACTTCACTTACAGAACAGTGGGACATAGTAAGATTACTGCCTGACCTTTTCACTTCTTTCAAAAATTGTACCCTACAGCTTTTCAGTGTACTTATTTATTTACTGCTATTAGGTAAATTCTGTCCTTTTGATGCCATGAGCCGCCTAGAGCTAAGCAATTTGAAGCACATTTGGAATGGTGAGTCCTATACTGATAAGAAACTTATAAATTATGGTTTGTGTTTTACAGATGATTGTAAATCAAACAGCTATCCACACTTGTTTCCTTCTGTATATTCTGTACATAAATTGGGACCTGTGAGTTCACCTGAAGTTTAATGAACATAAACATCAAGTGTCCTGTCACTGTGGAATTTTACAGTAAAAATAATTTAAAAAGGGATATGAATTTCCAGCATTAATGATTTTCCTCTGCTGCCCCACTTCCCCTCCTAGTCATTCCCTACCAGGAAAAATCTGCACATGAACCAACTCTGGCAGAGCACTGCAACAGGCAGTGATGATGCGGAGTCAGGCTGAGTGTGGTGTTTGACACCATTTGTGATGTCCCTCTAATGACACATATTTGACAGCTGCAGTTCTGTTGGAAGCCCAGATCTTTCTCCCGTTCTTACCATAATTGTGTAAGTAGCAATGCAGTCAGAAAAATCACTGCTGGTGGCAATTCCTCTTTGTGGCCATGGCTGTTGACCATAAAGTGAAAAGTTCTTCATAGCAAAGGAGCTAAGGAACTACTGAATTGCAGCATTCTAGATTACACAAGCTTAGATTAAAGGTTAGGGCATGTAAAAGGCAAAACTGTATGCTCTGAAAACCCCATGGGATCTTCCTGTACCAAGGCAGAGTGAAGAGGCTGACTTTATGAATAATTTGGATTAGCAACTGCTTAGAATTCTGTTTAGCTACCTGGAATCAAGGCTGAAGTAAATCAGCCGAGATCCAAACTTTCACCTATGGAGAGATGAAGTATTTTACACTCTGGTCTTAGATCACGGAATAGTAAGCTTTGTATTTCCAGCAAAACATCACTGTATAAAAGAAGAAGCACAAAGAAACATTATTCTGCAGGACCAAAACTTACTGATCTACACTACCAATGCTGGTCAGGTGTCTTACATAAAGCATGTCATAAAAGCATCTTTTTCCTCCCCGTGGATTTGGGGGGTGGGAAATTCCACAGCAGTTGAAAACAAGTGAAGCTGACTGTGATGAGTTAGAACGAGAGCTCCTCCCTGCGACTTGGATTAAAATGGCACAATTCCCTAGAAAGTATAAACAGTCAACAAGTCATCTGGACATTTTGGTAATGTTTCTTTCTTTCTCTCTTTCTTGGCAAATGGGGAAGAGGAAGGGGTAAGGGCAGGGCAGAAAGAGGTAAAAAAGGGCAATGATGTCTTCAAGAATGTCAACTAAATTCTTTCATTAAAGAGAAAACCCAAAACGGTGTGGGTTTCTTTATTCATTGCTCTGGATTAACCATTCTTTAACACTTCTGTCTTAAAATCTTTCCTTCCCAAACCACAGGCTTTTTCATGAACTCCCTGGAAGTTAGACTCCCACCGGCTGAGCACAGTGCCCTTGCAGCCATGGTGCAGTCCCTGCTGCCAGGGACAGTCCCAGGGAAACTCTGATGGCTGCCAGGTGCTTGGCAGTGGGTGCCCCACATCGCTTCTTCCCTCCAGTCTCCATTTTCTGTTTGTCTCTGCAATGACTGCCAGCGCCTGAATCAATTATTTATATCTCAGATAAGATACTTCTGGCAGTGCTGCCTGAGGAAGGACAAGTACCTCACTGGAATGATTCCTAATGGAAGCTGTTTTGGAAATGAGGCTTGTTATTCACATGTAGTTCCTCTCCTGGGTGTTGCAGGCCCACATAAACGGCTCTCACTGGAGGACACGTGCAAAGTTTAGGTTATCGGTTCCCTACTTGCTGTTTGCAGGCCACCCTCTCGCACTCATTTTCTGTCTCTTGTACTTGCTTTCTTCAAACGTGTGTTTCTTCTAAATCATTGACACCTGGTCTCCAGCTCTGACAAACTCAACTCCTCACAAGAGTCACTGTGATGATTCTAAGAATATCCCAATCTCTTAGGATTGTTCCCTTGCTCCTACACATAATGGCTGCAGTTTCTCCCCTGCAGAAGCCATGTGTGATGATGAGATGACCCAACATCCCACTTGGCACCACCCATGGATCAGCTCATGCACCCTGCAATGATGCCACCCCACCTCGACACTGCTCCTGTACTGAGAGTGGAGAAGCAACACCAGAATTTCTCATCTCTATGGACCCAGTAATAAAAGCTAGAGAGAGATCTTGACTTTAGCCTATTCTTTTTCATTTTATTTGCTTCCCAAGGCAAATGAGTTTCTCTTAACAGGTTTTAGTTTTATAGAAGCTTTAAGAAGGGTGTTAAGTGTGACTGAAGACATTATCTAACTTTATGGCCTTTGTGAAGCATCAGCTCGGCTGGAGAACTCTGCCATTCCATTCTGAAATGAGACTGATATGTAAATTCCTCTCTGACCCCTATTATGCATATTTGTTAGTGCCACATTTAGAGTGCTTGCCACTGTACTTTGCACAGATGCTTTTATGGCTGCTGACTGGTTTGGGGTCTTTTTATATGTCTAAATCAATTTAACATTACAAAAAGAAGAAATAGACATCTCAAGCAGCTTTAAAGATGCTAAGCCAGCATTTGCTTTCTAAACTGAATGCTTCCCTAGAGGCATGTGTCAACTCTGCTTTGTTCCATCTCATAAATTTAACCTAGCAAGGCAAACATAGTTAGTTCAGCTTGTTAATTTACTTATTTTTTTAAAAAATGAGTCCATGTAATGGCAAAATACAGAGAATAAATCATTAGAGTTTTTATTTTCGTTTGTTTATCATTATAAAAATTAATAATTATTATGAGATAACTATTAATTAAATAATTATCATGGGTTCGATCCCCGCTCAGTCCCCATGTGTTGTCTGATCTCATTGAGAGGCGTCCCTGCCCATGACAGGGAGGTTGGATTAAATGATCTCTAAGGTCCCTTCCAGCCTGGGCCATTCTATGATTCTATACAAGAAAAAGACAATACTTTTGGCTGGAGAAAAAGATTTATTTGGTTTAGTTCTCTTATCTCTGAAAATAATTTTGTAAGGAACATCTTAGTAGGTGGAAGAAAGAACTAAAGGATCTATATTTTATGAACAAGTTTGAACTTGCTACATTCTTGTCTTAAGGAGTGGGAGTTATTACAAACAGATTATGTTTAATTTTGATCAAAAATATTTATTAACACTCCTCTATTTTATTTCAGAGGCCTCATTTTGCGGCACTACAAAATCAACAACAGGCTCAGAGCCTGTGTAAAAAGCAGATGTCGGCAAACGGAGTGTGGAGCTTTAGTGCAAATTGAGGGAGGCACAGAGGAATTGTCCTGAGAGGCACAGAACTCCATGCAACCCAAGTTGTTTAAAAGGACGTAAAACGTTTTACACGTATGCATGTAAAACCAGAACACATTTTGGCTCATCCAAAATGTTGGTTACGCCATGAAAAAGAAGTTTTATTTCTTCTTTGTTTCATTTCTCATTCTATGCTATTAAAAAAGTACATGACAAATACGATCTAGAAGGCCATTTTGATCACACGCTCTCTGTCTAGGGCAAAATCATCTCAGTGATCACTACCATATTTACATCAATTTCCACACTCAGCCATAGCTTGTCTATTTCTCTAAAATTAACCTAGAGAACTGGCAGACTGGCTAAATATGGATGTTACTTGCCAAGCTACAGAACAATAAAAGCAGACCGCAGAATAAATTTGAATTCATGCCGTGGTTTTCCTGGTTGACTGCTGGATAATTGAATCTAGCTGAATAATAGTTAACCACCAGGGAACCAAGATTTGAT